TTCAGTAGCTGCGCTACTGGTTTGCTCGGCGCTGGAGCCGTGCTGCTAGAGCTGGTGGTGCTACGGGCGCTGGAGGTCCTGCTGCTGCTAGAGCTGCTGGGGGTTCTGGAGCACTTGTCTCGGAGGTGCTCGTACTAGAGGTACAGGAGCTGCTGGGCCTGGTGGTGCTACTGGAGCTGGCGGTGCTCCTGGAGTAGGTGCTGCTGGAGGTACTGGAGCTGGCGCTACTGGAGCTGTTGGGGCTTTTTGGTCGTCCCGCTGGAGCTGGAGCTGCTGGAGGTGCTGGTGCTGGAGGTGTTGCTGGAGCTGGTGGTGCTGCTGGAGTTGGAGCTGACGCTGGGGGGTGATGGTGCTGTCCCTGCTGGTTCTGGAGGCGCTGCGCGGCCGCGGCCGTACTTCGTTCCGCTCCTTGAGCAGGTTCTTGGTCTCCCGCCTTCTACTGGTTCTGCTCCTTCCTTCGAGTGTCCACCGCCTGTCCAGTCGCAGTCAGAATTACAGCCCGCCTCCCCACTCCCTACTCTTTCTCCTTACACTAGTCCGACCGGAGGTCTTACGGAGCGTCGTGAGCCTGAGTCTCGTCCTGCGTTGCCTGTTCGTGCTGCTCGGACTAGTCGCCGTGGTTCGCGCCATTGTCCTCCTCCTGTCCCAGGCACGCACTAGATGGCTCTGCGTCCTTCCACTGCTCCGCAGCTCCGCAGCGTGTTCCTCTGCCGTCTCCTCCTGCGTCCTCCCTTCCTGCCCTTTTTGACCCGGAGTCTGACTCCCTGCGTGCTGCTAGTCCTACTATCGCCCGTCCACTAGCCACTCTTGTCACTAACCCTTCCTTTTAGTCCACTGCTGCGTCTGCCTTAGTTGCTGAGCTTGTCGACTTTGCTGCTCACTGTCGTCTAGACTACGTCGCTAGTCTTGTTGCCGAGTCTGAGTCTGTCTCTCCTCCGTTCGTCGGGGTGAGTGTGCTCTTAGCATGGACGTCCTTGAGGACAAACAGGAGGAGTTCCAGTGTTTTGCTACAGCTTTACCTCATCTCGTGTCCATGCTGCTTGCCCCTGAGGGAGACCCGGATGCACCAGACATCCCGACCCCGCGCTCTTACGCAGAGGCGATAGAGGGTCCCTACTCCTCTCAGTGGCAGACAGCCATGGACGCAGAGATGGCTTCCCGGAAGTCCACAGACACCTACGTCGACGAGGTTCCTTGACCTGGGGCGAACATTGTCGATGGCATTTGGATTTTCAGGGTGAAGCAGCCGCCGGGTTCTCCGCTTGTCTTCAAGGCGCGTTACGTGGCTCGAGGCTTCAGTCAACGGCAGGGCGTTGACTACTTTCAGACCTTCTCTCCCCCCTGAAGATGACCAATCTTTGGGTACTACTACTCGTTGCTGCTCTGCGTGACTACGAGCTTCACTCTCTTAACTTCAGCACAGCCTTCCTACAGGGCAGCCTGCATGAGGAGATCTGGCTGCATCGCCCACCTGGATTCACTGAGTCGTTTCCTCCTGGTACCCAGTGGAGCCTCCGTCGGCCAGTCTAGGGTCTCCGCCAGGCGCCCCGTGAGTGGCACGACACACTGAGGACTACGCTTGCGGCTCTTGGGTTTGCTCCTTCCACTGCTGACCTGTCGCTGTTTCTTCGCACCGACACTAATCTGCCGCTGTTCTACATCCTTGTGTACGTCGACGACTTGGTCTTTGTTACTGCTGACACTGCTGGACTGGCCCACGTGAAGTCGGAGCTGCAGAAGAGACACACGTGCACAGACCTGGGTGAATTGTGCAGCTATCTTGGCTTGCAAATCACCCGGGACAGAGCACGGGGCACCATTACCTTGACTCGGTCACACATGGTGCAGCAGGTCCTTCAGCGCTTCAACTTCACGTACTCCTCGCCTCAGGCCACTCCTCTGTCTACTCGCCACTCGCTCTCAGCTCTACCTTCGGATGAGTCCGTAGAGCCGACTGGCCCGTACCCAGAGCTTGTTGGCTGCCTCATGTACCTGATGACCTGCACTCGACCTGACCTGGCATACCCTCTTAGCATCTTGGCACGCTATGTTGCTCCTGGGAGACACCGACCAGAGCACATGGATGCAGCTAAGAGGGTGTTGCGCTACCTGTGCAGTAAGTCGGGCATGAGGCTCGTGCTTGGAGGACGGGCCAGAGTTTGTCCTCACTGGTCACGCAAACGCTTCTTGGGTTGACGACTTGGCTACGCGGCGGTCGTCACAGGGTTACACCTTCAGCCTTGGTTCCGGCTCTGTTTCGTGGCAGTCTACCCGCTCGTCTTCTATTCTCAGCTCCAGTTGTGAGGCTGAGATCCACGCAGGGGCCATGGCTGCACACGATTTACGCTGGCTCACCTACCTGCTGACCGACTTGGGAGAGGCGCCTCGTTCTCCTCCAGATCTGTACGTCGACAACAAGGCCATGCTGGCCTTGTGTCAGGAGCACAGACTGGAGCACAGAATGAAGCACATTGCTCTGCGCTACTTCCTTGCTCAAGAGTTGCAGCATCGTGGTCAGCTTGGTCTTGCTTACGTGGCCACTCGGGCCAACACTGCTGATATCTTTACCAAGGCACTTCAGCATTGTGATCATCAGCGTTTTTGTACTATGATAGGTCTTGTGCCTACCTGGCCTCACTTGCTTACCTCTTGACTTTGCTTGTACTGTGATCTATATATACCTGCACGTGCATGTTTACCCTTGCTAGGTTGAGATCATTGTCTTGCTTGTTCACCCTAATTTATAATCCTGCATGTGAACTGGCCTTGTGGCCTTGTACTTATGCTCAGAATGTGTGGTGACGTTGTGATCCACCTTGAGCTTGACCTTGCCTTGTTCTCTTGCTTGTCCCCCACTTTGCCTATGGGGGTGTGTCAGAACTATATTGTAGGCTGTAGTGGGGCACTCCTTATGGGGTACAAGAATTGTTAGATTTTGCCTATACAAACCTGTCAGAATCCCAGCCACTAGACCACTGGGATAAAATGGCTTGTTAAGTAGCGGGTCAGTGCGCCCATAACCCCCCAGGCCAACATGCCTGTAACCCTTTCCTAGGATCAAACGGGGATCACCAGTGGACCTCTGACACCCCCCCGCACTGGGATGTCCGAAATGCAAACACTTGGATTCGAACCCGAGACCTTCGCTCTGATACCATGTCAGAATCCCAGCCACTAGACCACTTGGATAAAAGGGCTTGTTAAGTAGCGGGTCAATGCGCCCATAACCCCCCAGGCCAACATGCCTATAACCCTTCCGTAGGATCAAACGGGGATCACTAATGGACCTCTGACAAAACCTTGTACTGTCCTGTTTCTAGTAATTCCTCATTCTTATTTTCACATTTATCGCTTGGCAGGTTGGGCAAGCGGGCACGTAGTGCTGTACGCCCGACGCCATGTCGGGCCAGTAGTAATTCCGCTACAGCAACTTTGACGTTTTGTCGAAGCCGAAGTGCCCAGAGAGGTTGGAGTCGTGAACCTCATGCGTCAGCAACTCTTGTAAGGGTCGGTAGGAAGGTACCCAAACTCGGTTAGTACCGACTATTAGGTAATAACTCCCATGTTCCGAATTGACCCCGTTGGTGTAAATTCGTCCAGAAGAAACGATCAGTCCTGTAGCCGTGCTTGAACAATCCTGCCAATAAGGGGTTAGAATGGGCGATTAGTACTGCTGCAGTCTGCGGTGATGGGCGGGTCAGGGCGTCGGCGATGTTGTTGGCGTCTACGCGATGGTGTAGTTGAAGTTTGACTCGAGGTAATCGAGCCACCTGATTTGTCCCTGTTTGAGCTGTGGTTGGCTGCATATGTACTGCACTGCAAAGATTTGTGGTCTGTCCTGATCGTGACATCAGCTTTCGTGAGGTAACAGCACTAGGTACGAAATGTGTGCACAATGGCGAGCATTTCTTTGTCGTGTACAGGGTAGTTGCACTCCAGCGGCTGCATTTTCCGTGACCCGTACGCAATCAATCGCAGCCCGTTGCCGAAGTCCTGTAGAAGGACGGCGCCGACGACGAAATCGCTGGCGTTCGTCACGACTTCGAACAGTCTGTCAAACATTATATGTTTGTGTGGTTCTAGGCTGTAGTGGGTCACACCATAGGGGGGTACACCAGTTTAGGGTTTCATATTTGTACTGTTGTTCTTGCTACTCACACACATTCTTGTTTCTCATTCTGACATGGTATTACGAGCCTAGGTTCCACCTAGGACCGGAACGTTAGGGCCCACCGTTTCCGCTAGCCGCGCCCTCGTGCGCCGCCTTTTCCTCGCGCCCTCGTGCGCCTCGTTCCTAGCGTCGCCCCTTCAGGCCCCTCACGGCCCCTCGCGTCGCCCCTTACGGCCTCTCACGGCCCCGTCTTAAGACCCCGCGCTAGCCCCTTAAGGCCCCGCGTCGGCCCCGCGCTAGCCTCTCACGGCCCCCTATGGCCCCGCGCTAGCCCCGAACGGCCCCGTGTAGCCCCGCGCTAGCCTCCCACGGCCCACCTACGGCCCCGCGCTAGCCTCCTACGGCCCCGATTGGCCCCGCGCTAGCCTCGAACGGCCCCGTGCGGCCCCCGCGCTAACCTCCCACGGCCCCGTAAGGCCCCGCGCTAGCCTCCCACGGCCCCTTCAGGCCCCGCGCTAGCCTCCCACGGCCCCCTAAGGCCCCGCGCTAGCCTCCTACGGCCCCCAAATGGCCCCGCGCTAGCCCCGACCGGCCCCCGAACGGCCCCTCCCGCGCTCGCCCCTCTACGGCCGAGCCGCACAGCACGACCCCAGCTGCACCGCGCGACCCGAGCCGAACCGCGCGACCCAGCCGAGCCGCGCCGCCCCAGCCGAGCCGCGCCGCCCTAGCCGAGCTGCGCCGCCCTAGCCGAGCCGCGCCGTCCTAGCCGGGCCGCGCCCTCCTTACCTGAGCAGCAGCACCACTACTGCTACTGCTACTTGCTACTACTACCGCTGCTGCTGCTGCTACTGCCACTGCTACTGCTACTTCTGCTACTGCTACTTCAGCTATGGCTAGCCCTCCAGTTCTCTCGTTCGATGCTGAGGGCCGCCCGATTAAGTTTGAGACCTGGCTCGATGATCTGCACCTGTTCCTCCAGCTCACTGCCAGAGAGGATATCTCGCTGTACGATCACGCACTAGGCACAGTCCCTCCTCCTGCTACTACTGCTGCTGCTACTGCTCGCTCACAGTGGCAGACTCGCGATGCCCACGCCCGCTTTGCTATTCGCAACTCCCTGCCAGTCGACGAGCGCGAGCACTTTGGCCAGTATCAGACTGCGCAGGCCCTGTACACTGCTGTAGTTGCGCGCTACTCCTCCCCGGCCTCAGCTGCACTAGGCCGCCTCTCGCTTCCCTACCTGTTCCCCGACCTGTCCGCCTTCCAGACAGTCGCTGACCTCATCACTCACCTCCGCACTAGTGATGCCCGCTTCCGTGCCGCCATGCCCGCTGAGTTTCTTGCCTCCAACCCTCCCCCGCTCTGGCTCACTCTCTACCACCTAGTCACCCGCCTCCCTGACACTCTACGTACAGTCAGGGACCACTTCCTAGCTCGCTGCCCCACTGAGCTCACCATTACCGCCCTAGAGAAGGAAATACTTGCAGCTGAGAAGAGTATTGTAGCTGTAGGTACCTCTCGTGGCGACCCCCGCACCCCTTTCTTCGAGGGGTGTTCCCCCTCCCCCCTGCTCCCCTCTGTCGCCTCTGCTGCTGCTGTCGACCTCCTTGGTGCTGAGCAGGTCGGCTCTGCGTCCGCTCCCAGCGGGCGTCGCAGCGGCAAGGGCAGGGGAGGCAAGGGCGGTGGGGGTGACGGCGGGGGAGGCGGTGGTGGGGGTGGTGGCGGCGGTGGGGGGTGGTGGCGGGGCTGGAGGGGCTAGTGGCAGCGGTGGGAGTGGTGGAGGCAGCGGCGGCGGCGGTGGCCGGGGTGGGGGCGGTGGTGGTGGCGGCAGTGGACGTGGAGGCGGCAAGGGCGGTGGTGGTCGTGGTGGAGGCGGCGGTGGTGGTCGTGGAGGCTCTGGCACTGGCCAGAGCGCGCAGCACCCTCAGTCCTCCCAGGAGCTTCGTGAGTGGTACTTACAGCACGGGGGTGGGGGGGGTAGCCTTAGCTGCACGTACGTCATCCGCACTGGTCGCCGCAAGGGACAGACGTGCGGGAGGGCGCACACTGCGCAGCGCTGCTTCTCTCGCCTAGATGACGCGTGGCGTGCTCAGTTTCCTGACGCTCCTGAGCTCCCTCAGTGGGCTGATCTCCTCAAGAAGGATATCGATATCTATGCTCTTGATTTTGATGTTATTCTCAAAGCCATGTATGCGTTGACTATTAGTGGAGAGGAGGACCAGTACCTGTGTGTTCCGCCTGACCCAGGCATCCGCACGAGTGAGGCTGCAGCCCTAGGTGCTTGCGTGTCTGCTGCCCCAGGTGCTAGTGAGGCTACTGCTCTAGGTGCTTGTGTGTCCGCCACCCCAGGTACTACTGAGTCCACTGAGGCACTGCACACCTTCACTCTAGACTCAGGCGCTTCGCGCTGTTTCTTTCGTGACCGCACTGCTCTTGAGCCCCTTGCTCGACCAGTCGCTGTCTCGCTCGCTGACCCCTCTGGGGGTCCGGTCATTGCGACCTCCTCCACTGTCCTTCCTTGTCCTGCTGTCCCGTCGGGCACACTGTCAGGTCTCCACCTCCCCTCGTTCTCTACGAACTTGGTGGCGGGTTGTGCGCTTCAGGATGGGGGTGTTCACCAGTTCACCCCTGCCTACGAGCGTGTGACACACTGCACGTGTGCTCGGACGGGCCGTCACCTGGCTACCTTCACTCGGCAGCCGGGGTCGGACCTGTACACACTGACCACTGAGTCCCCTCAGGTAGCGGCGTCTGCGTCTGCGTCTGCGTCAGGTCAGCTGTCTGCCCCCTGCTCGTGTCGCTCTCTAGCGCACAAGACTGTCCTCTGGCACCACCGACTTGGTCACCCGTCAGTGCAGCGCCTTCGGGGCATGCACTCCCGATACCTTGTCTCTGGTCTTCCTCGGGTACTCCCTCCCCTCCCACCCTCCCTTGCTCCTGCTTGTCTTCCCTGTGTCGAGGGGCGGCAGCGCGCTGCCCCTCACTCCTCCTCGTTCCCCCCGACGACAGCTCCTTTGCAGACGCTCCACATGGACGTGTGGGGCCCAGCCCGCGTTCGTGGTCAGGGCCAGGAGAGGTACTTCTTGATCGTCGTTGACGACTACTCGCGCTACACCACGGTCTTCCCCTTGCGCACCAAGGGTGAAGTCCCTGATGTCCTGATCCCTTGGATCAGCAGAGCACGTCTTCAGCTGCGAGAGCGTTTTCGCTCGGAGTTTCCTGTCCTGCGCTTGCACTCTGACAGAGGTGGCGAGTTCTCCTCCGACCTCTTGGCAGCCTACTGTGCCGAGCACGGCATTCGCCAGTCGTTCACGCTTCCGGCCTCTCCACAGCAGAATGGGGTTGCTGAGCGCCGCATTGGCTTGGTCATGGAGGTCGCTCGTACCTCCTTAGTCCACGCGGCTGCCCCCCACTTTCTGTGGCCGTTTGCGGTCCGGTACGCTGCGCATCAGCTCAACCTCTGGCCCCGTGTCTCCGCTCCGGAGACCTCGCCCACACTGCTGTGGACGGGGGAGGTTGGCAATGCGTCACGCTTCCGTGTCTGGGGATCCCGAGCTTTTGTTCGCAACACGTCTGCGGACAAGCTCTCCTCCCGCACTGCTCCCTGTGTCTTTCTTGGCTTTGTCCCGGATGCGTCTGGCTGGCAGTTTTACCACCCCGCCTCGCACCGCGTCTTCCCCTCTCAGGACGTCACTTTTGACGAGTCCGTGCCCTTCTACCGCCTCTTCCCCTACCGCACTGCCCCGCTCCCTCCCCCGCCTCTCTTCCTCGCGCCAGGTGCTGCAGTGGTAGACCCCCTTCCCCCTCAGGGTGCCGCTCCCTCAGGTGTCTCTCAGGTAGACCCGGTTGAGCCTGCCGAGGTAGCTGTCGACTCGCGTCCTGCTGGAGGTGCTGAGCCTGAGCGTGCGGAGCCTGAGCGTGCGGAGCCTGAGCGGGTGGAGCCTGGGGGTGCTGAGTCTGGGGGTGCTGAGCCTGGGGGTGCTGAGTCTGGGGGTCCTGAGCCTGGGGGTGCTGAGTCTGGGGGTGCTGAGCCTGGGGGTGCTGGGTCTGGGGGTACTGAGCCTGGCGTTGCTGAGTCTGGGGGTGCTGAGCCTGGTGGTGTTGCAGTTGACTGTGAGGCGCCTGGAGGACCTCCCTCTTCGCAGCAGCTACGTGAGTGGTACTCACGGTACTGCAGCCTCCGGCAGGGTACGTCTCGGGCTCGTGGTGCTACTGGAGTTGGTACTCGTGTTTCCCCACCACGGCGGGAGCCGCCCTCTTCTCCACAGCTTCGAGAGTGGTACGCTCGGCACATCAGTCTCCGGAGTGGAGCTGCTGGTGCTGGGGTCCCCGGAGTTGACGCTGCTGCGGGTGCTGCGGACCCTGGTGCTGGAGGTGCTACTGCTGCTGGCGGTGCTGCTAGAGGTGCTGCTCGTACTGAGGACCCGGGCGTTGGAGCTGCTGTGGGTGCTGCGGACCCTGCTGCTGGAGGTACTGCTGCTGCTGGAGGTGCTGCTGGTGCTGCTGGAGGTGCTGCTGCTGCCGCTGGAGTGGGGGACCCGGAGGGTGGAGCTTCTGCTGGTGCTGAGGACCCTGCCGCTGGTGTCTCTACTGGTTCGGGAGTTGCTGCACGGCCACGGCCGTACTTCGTTCCGCTCCTTCAGCAGGTTCTTGGTCAGACTCCTCCTCCTTGTCCTCCTCTCGCCTTAGAGTGTCCGCCGTCTGTCCAGTCACAGCCACAGTTACCGCCTGCCTCCCCACTCCCTGTGCCTACTCCTTACACTGGTCCGACTGGAGGTCTTGCTGAGAGACGTGAGCCTGCGTCACGTCCTGTGTCACCTGCGTCTCGTCGAGCGTCGCCTGGTCGTGCTACTACCACTTGTAGTCGTGTCCAGCGTCAGCGTCCTCCTGCTGTCCCAGGCACTCACCAGATGGCGCTTCGTCAGTCCACTGCTCCACAGCGTGTCGCTCTCCCGTCGCCTCCTGCGTCCTCTCTTCCTGCTCTTGCTGACCCGGAGTCAGACACCCTTCGCGCAGCCAGTCCTACTGTCACACGTCTCCTGGCTACAGTTGTCACTGACCCTTCCTTTGAGTCCGCTGCTGCGTCTGCCTTAGTCACTGAGCTTGTCGACTTTGCAACTGTGTGTCGTCTAGACTACGCTGCGAGTCTTGTTGCTGAGTCTGAGTCTGTCTGTCCTCCGTCCGTCGGGGGTGAGTGTGCTCTTGGCACGGACGTCCGTAAGGACAGACAAGAGGAGTTTAGTTGCCTTGCCGCTGCTTTGCCCCATCTTGTGTCCATGCTTGTTGCCCCTGAGGGAGACCCGGATGCACCAGACATCCCGACCCCACGCTCTTACGCAGAGGCGATGGCCGGTCCCTACTCCTCTCAGTGGCAGTCAGCCATGGACACAGAGATGGCTTCCTGGAAGTCCACTGGCACCTACGTCGACGAGGTTCCCCCACCTGGGGCGAACATCGTCAGTGGCATGTGGATTTTCAGGGTGAAGCGGCCGCCGGGCTCTCCGCCTGTCTTCAAGGCGCGTTACGTTGCACGAGGCTTCAGTCAGCGAGAGGGAGTTGACTTCTTCCAGACCTTCTCCCCGACCCCGAAGATGACCACTCTTCGGGTTCTGCTACACGTCGCCGCTCAGCGTGACTACGAGCTCCACTCTCTTGACTTCAGCACAGCTTTCTTGCAGGGCAGCCTGCACGAGGAGATCTGGCTGCGCCGCCCACCTGGCTTCACTGGGTCGTTTCCTCCTGGTACCCAGTGGAGCCTCAGGCGACCAGTCTACGGTCTCCGCCAGGCGCCACGTGAGTGGCACGACACACTGAGGACTACACTTGCGGCTCTTGGGTTCGCTCCTTCTACTGCTGACCCGTCGCTGTTTCTACGCACCGACACCTCACTGCCGCCGTTCTACATCCTCGTGTACGTCGACGACTTGGTCTTTGCCACTTCTGACACAGCTGGTCTCGCTCACGTGAAGTCCGAACTGCAGAAGAGACACACATGCATAGACCTGGGTGAACTGACAAGCTATCTTGGCTTGCGGATCACCCGGGACAGAGCACGGCGCACCATCACCTTGACTCAGTCACACATGGTGCAGCAGGTCCTTCAGCGCTTCGGCTTCACGTACTCCTCGCCTCAGTCCACTCCTCTGCCTACGGGACACTCGCTCCTAGCTCTGCCTTCGGATGAGTCCGTAGAGCCGAGTGGTCCGTATCCAGAGCTTGTGGGCTGCCTCATGTACCTGATAACCTGCACTCGACCTGACCTTGCATACCCTCTCAGCATCTTAGCACGCTATGTCGCTTTTGGCCGTCACCGGAAGGAGCACATGGATGCAGCTAAGAGGGTGTTGCGCTACTTGTGCAGTACGTCGGGCATGGGGCTAGTGCTTGGAGGGCGAGACCGGCCTGTTCTCACTGGGCACTCAGACGCTTCTTGGGCAGACGACCAGGCTACTCAGCGGTCGTCTCAGGGTTACACCTTCAGTCTTGGCTCTGGCTCTGTCTCTTGGCGTTCTACTCGTTCCTCTTCTGTTCTCGGCTCCAGCTGTGAGGCTGAGATCTACGCCACGGCCATGGCTGCCCAGGAGCTTCGCTGGCTCACCTACCTTCTGACTGACCTTGGAGAGCAGCCTCGTTCTCCTCCAGTGCTGTACGTCGACAACAAGGCAACCATAGCCTTGTGTCAGGAGCACAGACTGGAGCACAGGACGAAGCACATTGCTCTGCGTTACTTTCTAGCTCGAGAGCTACAGCAGCGTGGTCAGCTTCTTCTGCGTTACGTGGCCACTGAGGCCAGCACTGCTGATGTGTTCACCAAGGCGCTTCCGCCTGTTGACCATCAGCGTTTTTGCACTCTTCTAGGCCTTGTGCCGACTGTTCCTCACTTGCTTACTTCTTGACCTTGCCTGTACTGTGATCATTATATATATACCTGCATGTTTGCCCTTGCTAGGTTGTGATCATTGTACCTCTTGCTCTGTTATAAAACTGCATGTGAACTGGTCTTGTGACCGCTTACTTGTGCTCGGAATTTGTGTGGAATCCTCGAGATCCACCCTGAGCTTGTTTGCCTTGCTTTGCCTTGACTGGTCTTGTGACCCCTAGGTCTCCCCCACTTTGCCTATGGGGGTGTGTCAAACATTATATGTTTGTGTGGTTCTAGGCTGTAGTGGGTCACACCATAGGGGGTACACCAGTTTAGGGTTTCATATTTGTACTGTTGTTCTTGCTAGTCACACACATTCGTGTTTCTCATTCTGACACAGTCGAGATGGGTCTGCCAGCCGAAGCAACGGGGGTGAACGCAAAAATTTCTCAGCTCGTCGAAGGCCAACTGTTCTCTCTCCCCCCAAAGAAATTGCACGCCCTTGTGCAGAAGATCGGTTAACGTCCTGGTTACCCCCGCCATATTCGGTACAAATCAGAGGACGTAGTTAACGAAGCCGAGGAAACTCTGCAACTTCGTGATGTTCGTGGGCGGCTTCCACTTCGAAATTGCCGTCACCTTGAGAGGGTCGATTTAAATACCCTCCCCTGAAACCACGTGCCCTAGGAACTCCAGCTCCGACTGTAAGAACTCACACTTAGAGCCCTTAGTAATCAGACGGTTCTATTGCAAGCGCTGGAACACCTCCTCTAAATCCCGTAAATGCTACTCCCGAGTCTTGCTGTACACCAGGATGTCGTCGAGGTAAACGAAAACTTTCTTGTCCAGCATGTCCCAAAACACCCCGTTCATGGTGAGCTCGAAGGTCGAGGCCGCGTTTGTCAACCCAAACGACATCACAGTGTACTCGTAACTGCCGTAGCGAGTGCAAAATGCAGATTCTGGGCAGTCGTCGGTGAACACGCGAATTGGTAGCCACCTTGCAAATCGATTTTCGAGAAGAAACAAGCTCAGTGAAGCTGATCCAGTAGGTCGTCCGCTCGCGAAATCGGGTAACGTGACTTTATGGTGATCCGATTCAACACTCGATAGTCGATGCACATGCGCAGGCGTATGGTGACGTGCTCGGTCGGATAAAACCCTTCGAAAGCAGATAATCCAGATGTTTCCGCAAATCGTCGAGCTCCGGTTGGCTGAGCCGCCACTATGACCGAACAGTTGGTTGCGAGCCTGGCTCCAGCTAGATCATGTGGTCTTTTGGTCGCTGAGGTGGCAGCCCGTCAAGCAGGTCATCCGCTAAAATTTCGAGATACTTCCGAATTATGCCCGCCACGTCCCCTGGTACAGCAGCGCAGAGCGTGTCAATGTCGACAATTTTTCCGGACGCAACCACCTCGTACAGCTGTACCGCGTAGTCTTACGCTCATCGCTTTATCGTCCTCGTTGGCGTTATCGCGTTGACACGTGTTGTTATCGGCTTCGGCTCCGTCCATTTCGGAAGTGTTACGCGCCCCTTGTTGCTCAGCACCGTGGTTGCTCCCGTTGTCCAGTTGATCGTCATATTGTATCGTTGTAGCCAATCTGCCTCAGCAGCACATCGCAACCGTTCAATGTCGTCGCCAACATCTTCATTGAAAACCCGAAATTGTCGCACACTTCATCCAAATTTGTCGCTCCTCGTCCTTTATCGCCAGCTGTGTCCCGACCACCAGTCATGCATCAATCTCGGGCAGACACCTGTCCAGCTTAACTCCAATTTTTGTGGCCGTTGCCAGGTTGACGAGACTGTGGCTCGCCCCACCGTCAACGAAAAGTTTTATTTTATGTCCGTTAACCCTCCCCACGACCAGCACAGGGCGATCCACGCGTTCATCCACTTTATTCGTCCGGTTGCGATCGATAGCTCGTAACAAAACCACTACTCGGTGTGAATGGTGATTGCCGGGCGACGGGGTCTCGTCAGTAGGTGGCCCGACTGCTACTGACCCGTCTCTTTTCCCGACCCCTGTCTGTCGTTCCTGTTTCCGTGTTTCAGCTTCGGGCAGTCTTCCCTCCAGCACTTGAAGCATGTGTTTGGTCCACGTCTTGGCGCATCCACACCGTTGATCGTGGGCTGGCGAGGCAGTTCACGAAGTTGAGTGCCCTCCCGGGAGCTCATTCTCGCCCACTACATCAGTGTGTCCGTTGATTCGGCCAACTGGACGGCATCGATAAAATCGCGTGGCCTCATTTGTCAAACATTATATATTTATATTGTGTAGGCTATAGTGGGTTTAGACTTAGGGGGTACAACTTTGCTAGGGTTGCCTGCTTGTATCCCCATCATTCCTAGTTTCATCATTCTCGTTCTATTCTAGATTTTAACATGGTATCACGAGCCTAGGTTGCTACCTAGGACCGCTTTCTACTACGGGCCCACTATTCCGCTAGAAGCGCCCTCGTGCGCCTTCGTGTGCCTTTCTCTGCTCGTGTGCCCTCGCGCGCCCCGCTCTTCGGTCTGCCCGAGTGCCGTCCTATAGCCCTCACGCTGCCTCCTGCAAGCTAGTACGGCCCTCGAGCCACCCCTGCAGGTCCGTGAGGCCCCCGAGCCGCCTCTGCAGGCCCGTCAGGCTCCCCCCGAGCCGCCTCTGCAGGCCGGTTAGGCCCGAGAGCCGCCCCTGCAGACCCGTCAGGTCCGCGCGCAGCCTCTGCCCGACCGCGCGTCGTCCCTACAGGCTCTCGCCGCCCGCCGCGTCGCCCTGCCCGCTGCGTTGCCGCCTGCCCGCGGCGTCGCCACCTGTCCGCGGCGTCGCCACCTGTCCGCGGCGTCGCCACCTGCCTGCGGCGTCGCCCCTGCCCGCGGCGTCGCCGCCTGCCCGCGGCGTCGCCACCTGTCCGCGGCGTCGCCACCTGGCCGCGGCGTCGCCACCTGCCCGCGGCGTCGTCACCTGCCCGCGGCGTCGCCCTGCCCGCGGCGTCGCCCTGCCCGCGGCGTCGTCACCTGCGTCACCCTGCCCGCGGCGTTGCCACCTGCCCGCCGCGTCGCCCTGCCCGCGGCGTCGTTACCTGCTCGCCGCGTCGCCCTGCCCGCGGCGTCGCCACCTGCCCGCCGCGTCGCCCTGCCCGCGGCGTCGTCACCTGCCCGTGGTGTCGTCACCTGCCCGCGGCGTCGCCCCTGCTCGTCGCGTCGCCCTGCCCGCGGCGTCGCCACCTGCCCGCTGCGTCGCCACCTGCCCACGGCGTCGCCCCTGCCCGCCGCATCGCCCTGCCCGCCGCGTCGCCCCTGCCCACGCGTCGCCCCTGCCCGCTGAGTCACCCTGACCTAACCCGCGCCTGACCTCTGGAGCAGCCGCCCCTGCAGCAACCGCCCCTGGCTCCTGGAGCAGCCGCCCCTGCAGCAGCCACCCCTGGCCACTGGAGCAGCCGGCCACTGGAGCAGCCGCCAGTGCAGGAGCCGCCCCTCGCCCCTGGAGCAGCCGCCCCTGCAGCAGCCGCCCCTGGCCACTGGAGCAGCCGCCCCTGGAGCAGCTGCCACTGCAGGAGCCGCTCCTGGCCCCTGGAACAGCCGCCCCTGGAGCAGCCGCCCCTGGAGCGGCCGCTGTGGCGGCCCCCGCAGTCGCCCCGCTCGTACGCCTGCCCGTCCCACCACTGGTGAGCACTGCCCTGCCCGTACTACTACTGCTGTTACTGCTGCTCCTGGCGTGGCCAGATGCCGCTCCAGGGCCGTCCGCGTGTGTCCCTCACGCCCCAGCAGCTTTGTGAGTGGTACGCCAGTTGGGGTTGTCGGGGTGGCAGTAGTGGGAGTCGTCCTGGAGTGGGTAGTTTGGGATTTTCTTGTAGTGGCCCGGTGCAGCAACCGCGTCGTCTACGCGAGGCTCTTTCGCCCTAGCAGCTTCGTGAGTGGTACGCTCAGAGTAGAGGGTCACTGAGTACTGCTCGCTGTCCGTACGTCATTCGCACAGGTGTCCAACCTGGTCAGCCTTGCGGGACACGTTGTCACACAGAGTCCCACTGCTTCGCCCGTCTGGGCGACGTTTGGCGTACAGAGCTTGGCGACGACGCTGAGCTCCCCGACTGGGTGGAGCTGCTTAGGCAGAGGGTAGAAATCTTTGCTCTTGACTATGATGCTATCCTCACTGCCATGTATGCATTGTCTACTAGTGCTGAGAGTGCATGTCACCTGTGTGTGCCGCCTGACCCCGGTATCCAGTCAACTGCTCTAGGTACTGGTGAGGCTGCCGCTCTAGGTGCTAGAGTGTCTGCTGACCCAGGTGTTGGTGAGGCTGCTGCTCTAGGTACTCGTGAGTCTGCCCCCCCTGGTACTGAGTCTACTGAGGCACTGCACACCTTCACACTGGACTCAGGTGCTTCTCGCTGTTTCTTTCGTGACCGCACTGCCCTTGAGCAGCCTGCTCGGCCAGTTGTTGTTTCCCTTGCTGACCCCTCTAGGGGTTCGGTCATTGCGACCTCCTCCACTCTCCTTCCTTGTCCTGCGGTTCCGTCGGGCACACTGTCAGGTCTCCACCTCCCCTCGTTCTCTACAAACTTGGTGGCGGGTTGTGCGCTCCAGGACGGGGGTGTCCACCAGTTCACCCCTGCCTACAAGCGCGTGACACACTGCACGTGTGCTCGGACGGGCCGTCACCTGGCTACCTTCACTCGGCAGCCGGGGTCGGACCTGTACACACTGACCACTGAGTCCCCTCAGGTAGCTGAGTCTGCGTCTGCTTCAGGTCAGCTGTCTGCCCCCTGCTCGTGTCGCTCTCTAGCACACGAGACCATCCTCTGGCACCACCGCCTTGGTCACCCGTCAGTGCAGCGCCTTCGTGCCATGCACAAACGGTACCTTGTCTCTGGTCTTCCCCGGGTACTTCCTCCCCTCCCACCCTCGCCTGCTCCTCCCTGTCTTCCTTGTGTCGAGGGGCGGCAGCACGCCGCTCCTCACTCCTCCTCGTTTCCCCCCACGACTGCTCCCTTGCAGATGCTCCACATGGACGTGTGGGGCCCAGCCCGCGTCCCTGAACACGGTCAGGAGAGGTACTTCCTGATCGTTGTTGACGACTACTCGCGCTACACCACGGTCTTCCCCTTGCGCACCAAGGGTGAGGTCCCTGATGTTTTGATCCCTTGGATCCGCGCTTCTCGTCTCCAGCTCAGCGAGCGGTTCCACTCAGACTTTCCTGTCTTGCGTCTGCTCTCTGACAGAGGTGGTGAGTTCTCCTTCGACCTCTTGGCAGCCTACTGTGCGGAGCACAGCATCCACCAGTCGTTCACGCTTCCGGCCTCTCCACAGCAGAATGGGGTTGCTGAGCGCCGCATTGGCTTGGTCATGGAGGTCGCTCGTACCTCCTTGATCCATGCGGCTGCCCCCCACTTTCTGTGGCCGTTTGCGGTCCGGTACGCTGCGCATCAGCTCAACCTCTGGCCCCGTGTCTCCCCTCCGGAGACCTCGCCCACACTGCTATGGACGGGGGAGGTTGGCGATGCGTCGCGTTTCCGGGTCTGGGGATCTCAAGCTTTTGTCCGCGATACGTCCGCGGACAAGCTCTCCTTCCGCGCTGTTCCTTGTGTCTTCCTTGGCTTTGTCCCGGACGCGTCTGGTTGGCACTTTTACCACGCCACCTCGCGCCGTGTCATGCCCTTTCAGGACGTCACTTTTGACGAGTCGGTGCCCTACTACCGCCTCTTCCCCTACCGCACTGCCCCGCTCCCCCCCCCGCCTCTCTTCCTCGCGCCGGTGCTGCTGTGGTAGACCCCCTCCCCCCTCAGGGTGCCGCTCCCTCAGGTGTGTCCCAAGTAGACCCGGTTGAGCCTGTCGAGGTAGTTGTCGACTCTCGTCCTCCTAGGGGTGCTGAGCCTGAGCGTGCGGAGCCTAGGGGTGCGGAGCCTGGGGGTGCGGAGCCTGGGGTTGCGGAGTCTGGGGGTGCTGAGTCTGGGGGTGCGGAGTCTGCGGGTGCTGAGTCTGGGGGTGCTGAGTTTGCGGGTGCTGAGTCTGGGGGTGCTGAGTCTGGGGGTCCTGAGCCTGGGAGTGCTACACCTGGAGGAGCTCTCTCCTCACAGCAGCTGTGTTAGTGGTACTTACAGTATTGCAGCCTCAGGAGAGGTGCTTCTGGAGCTAGGAGTGCTGCTGGAGCTGGTGCTAGTGCTTCCCCTCCTAGGCGGGAGCTGCCCTCTCCCCAGCGGCTCCGAGAGTGGTACGCTCGGCGCTGCAGTCTCCGGAGTGGCGCTCCTAGTGTCGCGGACCCTGGTGCTGGAGGTGCTGCTGCTGCTGGCGGTGCTGCTGGCGCTACTGGAGGTGCTGCTGGAGCTGCTGGAGCTGCTGGAGGTGCTGCTGCTAGTGGTGGTGCTGCTGGTGCTGCTGGAGCTGCTGGAGGTGCTGTCGGTGCTGGTGCTGTTGGAGCTGCTGGAGGTGCTGCTACTACTGGAGGTGCTGCTAGTGCTAGTGACGCTGCTGGAGGTGCTGCTGGCGCTGGTGTTGCTGCTGGTGCTGCTAGAGCTGCTGGAGGTGTTGCTAGTGCTGGGGCTGCTGGAGCTGTTGGAGCTGCTGCTGGTGCTGAGGACCCGGGCGTTGGAGCTGCTGTTGGTGCTGCGGACCCGGGCGTTGGAGCTCCTGCTGGTGCTGCGGACCCTGGAGTTGGAGCTGCTGCTGGTGCTGGAGGTGCTGGCGCTGCTGGAGCTACTGGTGGTCCTGCGGGCGCTGTAGCTGGAGACCCTGGAGCTGAGCCTACTTGTGGTCTCTCTGCTGGTTGTGGCGGCGCTACGCGGCCACAGCCGCACTTCGTTCCACTCCTTCAGCAGGTTCTTGGTCAGTCCCCTCCTCCCTGTCCTGCTCCCTCCTTAGAGTGTCTTCCGCCAGTCCAGTTACAGTCACAGTTACCTCCTGCCTTACCACTCCCTGGTCCTTCTCCTTACACTGGTCCGACTTGAGGTCTTACAGAGCGTTGTGAGCCTGAGTCTCGTCCTGCGTCGCCCGAGTCTCGTTGTGCGTCGCATATTCGTGCTGCTCACACTGGTCGTCGTGTCCCTCGTCAGCATCCTCCTACTGTCCCAGGTACTCACCAGATGGCGCTTCGTCCTTCCTCTGCTCCTCAGCGCGTCCCCATGCCGTCTCCTCCTGCGTCCTCTATACCTGCTCTTGCTGACCCGGAGTCTAACTCCCTTCGTGCTGCCAGTCCTACTGTCACGCGTCTCCTCGCCATTGTTGTCACTGACCCTTTCTTTGAGTCCTCCGCTGCGTTTGCTCTAGTCCGTGAGTTAGTTGACTTTGCTGCCGCTTGTCGTCTCGACTACGCCGCTAGCCTTGTCGCTGAGTGTGAGTCTGAGTTTGTCTGTCCTCCGTCCGTCGGGGGTGAGTGTGCTCTTGGCACGGACGTCCTTGAGGATAGGCAGGAGGAGTTTGAGTGCTTTGCCGCTGCTTTACCTCATCTCGTGTCCATGCTGGTTGCCCCTGAGGGAGACCCGGATGCTCCAGACATCCCGACCCCGCGCTCTTACGTTGAGGCGATCGCGGGTGAGTACTCCTCTCAGTGGCAGACAGCCATGGACGCATAGATGGCTTCCCGGAAGTCCACAGGCACCTACGTCGACGAGGTTCCCCCACCTGGGGCGAACATCGTCAGTGGCATGTGGATTTTCAGGGTGAAGCGGCCGCCGGGTTCTCCGCCTGTCTTCAAGGCGCGTTACGTTGCACGAGGCTTCGGCCAGCGAGAGGGAGTTGACTTCTTCCAAACCTTCTCCTCGACCCCGAAGATGACCACTCTTCGGGTTCTGCTGCACGTCGCCGCTCAGCGTGACTACGAGCTCCACTCTCTTGACTTCAGCACTGCTTTCCTACAGGGCAGCCTGCACGAGGAGATCTTGCTGCACCGCCCACCTGGCTTCACTGGGTCGTTCCCTCCTGGTACCCAGTGGAGCCTTCGGCGGCCAGTCAACGGTCTCCGCCTGGCGCCGCGTGAGTGGCACGACACACTGAGGACTACACTTGCGGCTCTTGGATTCGCTCCTTCTACTGCTGACACGTCGCTGTTTCTACGCACCGACACTTCGCTGCCGCCCTTCTACATCCTCGTGTACGTCGACGACTTGGTCTTTGCCACTGCGTCCACGTGAAGTCGGAGCTGTAGAAGAGACACACCTGCACAGACGCACGTGAACTGACAAGCTATCTTGGCTTGCGGATCACCCGAGACAGAGCACGGCGCACCATCACCTTGACTCTGTCACACATGGTGCAGCAGGTCCTTCAGCGCTTCCGCTTCACGTACTCCTCGCCTCAGGCCACTCCTCTGCCTACCGGTCACTCGCTCTCAGCTCTGCCTTCGGATGAGTCCGTAGAGCCGAGTGGCCCGTATCCAGAGCTTGTGGGCTGCCTCATGTACCTGATGACCTGCACTCGACCTGACCTTGCATACCCTCTTAGCATCCTTGCATGCTATGTCACTCCTGGCCGTCACCGGAAGGAGCACATGGATGCCGCTAAGAGGGTGTTGTGCTACTTGTGCATTACGTCGGGCATGGGGCTAGTGCTTGGAGGACGAGACCGAGTTGTACTCACTGGGCACTCAGACGCTTCTTGGGCTGACGACCAGGCTACTCAGCGGTCGTCTCAGGGTTACACCTTCAGCCTTGGCTCTGGTTCAGTTTCTTGGCATTCTACACGCTCGTCTTCTGTTCTCAGCTTCAGTTGTGAGGCTGAGATCTACGCCACAGCCATGGCTGCACAGGAGTTACGCTGGCTCACCTACCTGCTGACCGACTTGGGAGAGCGGCCTCGTTCTCCTCTAGTGCTGTACGTCGACAACAAGGCTGCCATTGCCTTGTGTGAGGAGCACAAACTGGAGCACAGAACGAAGCATATCGCTCTGCGCTACTTCCTTGCTCGAGAGCTGCAGCAGCGCGGTCAGCTTCGTCTGCGTTACGTGGCCACTCGGGCCAACACTGCTGATGTGTTCACCAAGGCGCTTCAGCCTTGTGACCATCAGTGCTTCTGTACTGTTCTAGGCCTTGTGCCTACTGGTCCTCACTTGCTTACTTTTTGACTCTGCTTGTACTGTGATCTCTATATATATACCTGCATGCCTGCTCTTGCTAGGTTGTGATCACTGTATCTCTTGTTATATTATCAACATGCATGTGAACTGGTCTTGTGACCACTTGCTTGTGCTCAGAATTTGTGTTGTTTCCCTGAGATCCACCCTGAGCTTGCTTTGCTTTGCTTTGACTGGTCTTGTGACCATCTGGTTGTCTCCCACTTAGCCTATGGGGGTGTGTCAAACATTATATGTTTATATTGTGTAGGCTATAGTGGGTTTAGACTTAGGGGGTACAACTTTGCTAGGGTTGCCTACTTGTATCCCCATCATTCCTAGTTTCATCATTCTCGTTCTATTCTAGATTTTAACATCATTCATCGCACCTTGTACTGCACCTCATACTTGAGGCTTGCGACGTATTTGTCGAGTCGCTCCGCGTCACTCATGTCGTCCACTTGGTCGGCCAAAGCGCAAAATGTCGTTGTGTAGTCTTGGACCAATGTCACCTGCTTCCAGGCACTCAGCTTCATGCGAGCAGAATCCGAGGCGGATACGTGCTCGAATCTGGCTCGCAGCGCGGCGCCCCACTCCGTCCATGTGCGTATCATGGTCACTCCGAAGATTGTAGTTGCTCGTTGCGTGACATATGTCCAGGTCCCGTCGTTCGCACGTGAGAGCACTGCCGAAGTCCCCTCTATTTGAAGTGTTCGCCTCCACCACTCCGACGCAGCTCCGCGTAACATTGACACTGCAGAATTAATGCATGTGACATCATCAGCAATTTGCGCAGCATTGAAGAAAACCTCCACGCTGAACAACCACGCAGACACAGTGACAGTTTTGTCGCTTGGGCTGAACAGGGGTGGATTTGTTGGTTTTATCTTGACAGTTGTCGGAATTGCTGCTGCTGCATGCACTGTGGGCGCCACCGAAGCCATCGCCGGCGTTGTCTCGAGGTAGCGTCTGCGACTGTTGCCTTGGCGTTGCTCGTTCCTGTTGATGTTGTCCTGGCGCTCCCGGTGCCTGTTGACGTCGTGCCGCCCATTCATCTTCAGCGTCCTACGAGGCATCCAGCTCTCTCGTTGAGTGAGGAGCTGCTACTTGCTTTATCCACGACAGGCGACTCCTAACGCGTTTCCTCTCGCGCCTGGCACAGTTCAGCGTTTTCCACCCTAAGGCGCTCCAACTCGCCTTGCATATTGGATTGCATCGCCTGAAATTCCTGCAAGAACGCGCCAAACTCTGCTTGATTCATGTTTCGGAGACTCATCCTAACGGGCAGCGGGTTAAAGTTGTCGTCCACATACCTGGCGGGAGGGCCTCTGGTTTATCACTTGAAAACCAGGTAGCCCTCCGCTTCGATGGCGAGGTGTGTTTCACTGTTTTGGACAACACAACCCCCGCCTGAAATTTCCCTGCTCTTGATTGGCTATACAAATTCGCCAATCTGTGAAGTTTACGAGGAATGAATTGACTAAGGAAAAGATGGGTACAAGTAGGAAACCCTAGAAATGTGTTGTACCCTATATGTGCTTCCCCACTACAGCCTACACAGGCTAAGTCATATAACTCTGACACAATCCTCTCCCCAACCCAACCTCGCGAAATAATCGCGGAGTCGCCGAGGGTTGTTTCTCAACCAAAAATCTTCACGAAACTGGCGGATTTCGCCAGTTCCGTTTGACCAGCTCGCACCTACTGATTCTGGAAGAGGTTTTTTTGTAAGCAAATCAGTGTGCGTTGCTGGGTGTGCATCCTAAATAACCCCAAAAAATACCGCGAAGTATGTATACCGCCGCTTTAAACAACAAATTTTCTGACTTTGATAAAGCCGCAAACGCTATTATTCGGAGCGAGATAATCGTATCTATCTCTCGACCGACCGCTTTGCAGCCCACCAAGTCTATCGCAACCCTGCACTAAACTACCTCAGAAACTAGAGGGTAACCTAGGAAAGTAGCTCTTATATCAAGTGTTATGAGCTGTACAAAAGAGTGCGCATAATGCAATATCGTGGAAGTGATTCCAACTACTGAGAAAACAACGAGGCCTAGGCAAAATATAGCAAGGCTAGCTAGGCCGAGGTCGCGGAGTCGCGAGATGGTTGGGTGAAGGTTTGGGGTTGGGAAACCCAAAGGCGACGCGAGGGACGTTCAGAAGGCGAGGTCGGCGGACCGAGCCTGAACTCCAAAAGGTTAAAATTGTACGCGTATGGAGTGCCTCAGTAAGGAATTAGGAAAATTCCTTACAACAGCAATCAATCTTTGCTAATAGGTTAACGATGTTGTCTGTTTTCTTTCCCTTTGGGGCGGGACCTCTCGTAACGAGGTTTGAGGGTGGTGGGGTCTCCGCTCGGTGGCGCCTGCGTTGCGTCTGGTGGCTGCCCTCATTCTTGCGATGGGTTTAGTGTGGCGAAGTGGGTGGGCTTCACGAAAATAAGCGAACATAAATATCAAACGACGAACCGAGGGTTGGCAGTGTGTAGCGCTGTAAAATGTTTGTTGGTAACGCCATAACATATCGATAAGGCGCATTCAAGGAGCTTGTCATGTGGTGGTTCAGGGGTTTCGTGTGGTTAGGGAACTAGCCCCAACTAAATGTGCTGGTGGAGCCTCGCAGTTTCCGAGTTGTGACCCAGATTCACCCATCTGCTGGGTGTACTCATAGGTGGCAACCCAGTTGCTGTAACTCTGTGTGCATTTTTTAGTGCGTGTTCGTAAGTCGTCCTCCAGAAATAAGCCAATCAGGGATTCGTAGGAGTGATGTTCAGTAGCTATTTCCATAAAACAGCAAACAAGTAGCTTTGTAAACCTTCAGATATCTGGGGTGGGTCCTTGTCAGAATCCCAACCACTAGACCATTGGGATAAAAGGGCTTGTTTCAGTAGCGGGTCAGTGCGCCCATAACCCCCCAGGCGAACGCGCCTGTAACCCTCTCCAGGATCAATCGGGCATCCACAGTGCAGATCTACTGACACCCCCCCACACTGGGAGGCCGAGGACTAAGCACAGCGGCAACGGCCTACATGTGCATACACCGGGAATCGAACCTGAGATCGCTCTGATACCATGTCAGAATCCCAACCACTAGACCATTGGGATAAAAAGGCTTGTTTTAGTAGCGGGTCAGTGCGCCCATAACCCCCCAGGCGAATGCGCCTGTAACCCTTTCCAGGATCAATCGGGCATCCACAGTGCAGATCTACTGACAGTCCTTGGTTTGTATAAATTGAAGAGCTGCTACTACCGCCGACGAGGTACAACGGAGAGATATTCCAGTATAACGAAATTCGCACTTAGCGATCCGAGATTAGTGGCATATTGGGTGACTGTCTCCCCGATTAATTGAAGTCTACATGAAGCTGCCTTCATGAACTAGCTTGACCAAGGATAGGTGTTCCAGGTTTTGTGAACTATTTGACCGATTAGCTTTGCATTTGTTAAGAATCTGATCCAGTGCAAATGAGAGCGGAATTGTGGGATGGGAGTCACACCACACGAGCGAAACGCGCTGGTGAAAACGAGACACGACGAGACTGTCGAGAAACGCTAGCAGAAAGTTAGAAACAGAAAAGGGGGTTGCACTAGGAGCAGATAGGTTACATATAGCAAACCCTAATTCGGGTTGTACTCACTATAGAGTACCCCACTGCACTCTAGACAATTATAGCATTCGGACAGAGACGACCGTCTTGTTAAATCGAGCCACCGTTTCTTATGTCTGTCTTTATTGGCCCTGGCTCATTGCTTCGCCTTTTGTTTCGCATCTTCCTTGTCCATCCATAAATAATGCTGCCCAAGTTCATCATTGTTTGTGAGGACGCATCGCATTCCCACTTCGGAGGAAGGTCGGGGCAACATACCAAACTTGTGCGCGTCGATCACCCCCGAGGGTCACCATTGTGTTCAAGATCCCTGTTTCAGCAGTATTTTTCAGAGGGTTGTAAAGCAGGAAGCTTGCTTTCAGTGCGGTGGGAACTCAATGTCGTACGATCGATCACCTTGTGTGAAGCATTCTGAGCTTTTGCGAGATTGACGAAATGGTGTATTCGGTTCTCACAAAGTCATGATGTTACCGCATAACCCAGGGTCGGTGTTTGATGTTTGTGATGCGTCCTAAGAGAGCACATTGTTTCAGCTTTGCCAAATCGTCACCATCCAGAGCTACATCTGTCAGCAGCACGCAAAGCTGCCCTACCAGTCACCATTCCTGCCAGCGCCCCTCCTCTGCCCATCGCCAAAACGGGAAACCAGGCAGCGGAGGGCAAAAGACGCCCAGAGCAGATGACTTGTGGTGGCTCACAGTCACGGAGGAGGGCCTGGGTGCGGAGCATGGCAGGGCAGGGCAGGGCAGGCAGGGCAGCTCTAGTAGGCAGCATTTTGCCAGCAATGCAAAGTTCAAGACAGGGCGTGTGGAAACCTCAATCGTCAGATCGAGACGGCACTCTCCCATCCCATCTCCCGATCGTTGGTCCCCAAGAGAGTCTTTAGAGTGCACTCTATCAAATTATATATGCTATATATGTTTAGGCTGTAGTGGGGTACCCAATATGGGGTACATCCCCTTCTAGGGTTTCATATTTGTACCCAACTCTTTCATAGTGCAATCATTTCTGCTGCTAGATTCTCACATGGTTTCAGAGCACTAGGTCCGTAGGACCGTCTTTTTTTTCGGGCCCACCTACTGTTGCGGTTACCGCGCTACCCCACGTTTTGTCTTGTGCCTGCCTGACTACCCTGCCTTGTAATGTGTTGCGCTGCGCGCGCCGTCCTGCAGCCCTCGCGCTGCCTCCTGCTGCCCTAGGCCAGCGCGCCGCCCCTGCAGGCCAGTAAGGCCCGCGCGCCGCCCCTACAGGCTCGTAAGGCCCACGCGCCGCCTCTACAGACCCGTCAGGCCCACGAGCCACCCCTGCAGGCCGTCAGGCCCACGAGCCGCCCCTTCAGGCCCGTCAGGCCAAAACGCGGCCCCGCCCTCCCTCTGACGACGTGGCCGCGCCCTGCCTTTGA